CGATTTTCGAAAAGTGTGACTAGTCTAGTCTACTAATAGACCCACTGATTGCGTTCGAAGCACCTGTGCGGCGCTAAACTCGTCACGACATGCAACGAGACAATGGGCCAACTATCCGGCCGCCGGATATCCGGCTATCCGGCCTAGCAGCTGGCCGGATATCCGGTATCCGGTATCCGGCCAAACGACTATCCGTTTCATCTCTAGTACAGTGTGTATTCAGTGTATCTTCTACATGGTGATCAAAGGCAATTTGAAATAAAACAATCAAATTACAAGCGAGGAGTTTATTGACAAGCACAAATAGACGCGCCGACCGCCATTGGGCGTCCAACCCGGCGGCTTGGCGGTCCCTCGGTGCATCAACAGCTCACGCAGAGGGCATTCGCATGAGTCCTAATTCTGCTACTTTATAATCATAATAACTTTTCAATGGATCGAAAAAACGAAGCCATGGAAAACCCATTTGGAGTGTAAGGTAGCAGAATTGAGGGGAGAGGCGAGTGTTCTCAGGACACAGCTTAGTCGAAGAGACCGAAGCCCATGTCGTCGTCGCTCTCGGATTCCTCTTTTTCCTCCTTCTTTTCCTCTTGCTTGGCGGCGGCCGGAGCGGCGGCGGCGGCGGCGACGGGCGCGGCCGCTGCGGCGAACTTGGATGGGTCCTGCAAACAAAGGTTCAGTTAAGTACTTCTTTAGGTTATTTAGATTTCCTTGGTGGTTGCCTAAATAATAAGGAATGTTTGTTACTTTGAAATGCCAGTGCAATATCCATGATAAGATCATCACACTAGGATAAATTCAAAGAAATAATTTAGTCTGAAAGCGAAAGCCAGAGAGTTGATAGGAACTCCCTGGTATTAGAACAGACATGATCAAAATTGAACCAGGCGTGGGATTCATTCCCCCACAAAGGGGCGTGAGGGTCCGCCTTCCAGGTGGGCCGTCGCCGTTGGTGTCGCGGAAGTCTTAAGGTGGCCGTTCGTGCTGCGACAGAGACGAGAGACCACGACCGTTACTTGACCTTAGGTAATGTATTATGCGTCAGTTCGCGAGCGAGACAACTAAGTCAAGTAAAGGTCGCAGTCTCCCGTCTCGGTCCCTAAGGCTACAGCTGGATGCTCGCGACACCTCTGCTCAAGTGATGATGGAACGCCGCGGAGGTTTTAGTGAGTTTCTAAGTTTTAGGGAGAGACCAGATGCTTGTGCAATTTTATGCTACTTCTATTCTATTAATCTAGTCCTGTTGTCTCCCCTAGCCAGGGAGGACAACAGGATTTCGAAATCCTGTTGGCTCCCCCAGGGGGGCCAAGCAGGGGGGACAACAGGACTGCACCCTTCCATTTAAGCTATTTCCATGTCAAAACGTGTACTAACCTTGATGAACTCCTTGATGGTGGTCGCCTCCTTGAACTCAACCTCGGTGACGGCGGCGAGGGCCAGCAGGTTCTTGAACCCGTTGGCGATGGAGTGCGGCGCAGACGCCAGCGTGGGGTAGCCCATCGCTAACGAAGCGGCCGCCACGTTGGCCACGCCCTCCATGAACTTGGCGCGAAGGTCTTCCGGCTTGATGTCCAGGATGGCCGGCGCGAAGATGGTGCCAGAGTCGTACACCTGGAGTGTGGGAATATTTAATTGAATTATTGTACTCAATACTCAATTATTTATTGCATCCATGTTTAACAAAGGTTTGCAATTAAAGGCGTTTATTTGCGAGGGTGACTCGCGAGAAATGTGGAGAAGCGTTTGCCCCGCGAGTCAACTGAAACGAAGCTACCTTTCGATTTGTTACTCGCCTTTAGGTAGATTAAATAAAACAAATGAACCAAAAAAAGTCCCTTATTTCAGAATTTTATACCCCTTCTACATAGACGAAAATAAAGTCGTTACTTATTTATCTGTTTGCAATTGAAATAAAAATTGGTTACTGAACCAATCAAGAACAAATCAAAGTGCAATTAATTTACCAAAGGTAAATTATCAGAGTGCACAGGTAAAGTGCAAACTGTACTCAACACTTTGGATAATCACATCAGACGAGTTTGGATTGACAAGCAGTTCAATTTTCTTTAGTTAATCTAAAGTATTTGTTTAAAACATCCTCATATAAGGCTCATAACATCCTGTATTCAAGATCTCATAGTTTACACCTAGAGCAGGGCTTCCAAATTTTTTTATTTTATTGTGACGCCCTTGAACGTCGCGACATAATGTTTGGGAAGCCTTGACCTAGAGTATTGTCTACATATTGAAAGTATATCTCACCTGCTTGACGACAAGACCGTACGAGAAGGGAGAGATGTTCAACATGTTGAGGAGAGTGGCTTCGGAGGCTCCCACCTTGTCGCCAGGCTTCAAGATGTGGACATCGTTGATGATTTCAATGGTACCTGGAATAGCATGGTTTTAGATGAGTATACATGAAACTTAGCTTTTACTAAAAGGCGCAGTTACACTATGCGGGAAATTGGTCGAGGCATAAAATATAGTGTAAACACACACTTCACTTAGTTTCGCCGCGTCGCCCATACTTCGGTGTGCGTTCTCGCGCTTCGTGTCGGTCAATTTCCCGCAGTGTAACTGCACCATTACATATGAAGTTTTCTTAGTGAAATAATGTATCTTCAAAATGCCGATGCAATATCCACATAGGACTAATCACACCAGGATAAATTTAAAGAGTTAATTTTGTCTGAAAGCGAAGCCAGAGAGTCTACAGATACTCCCAGGTATTAGAACAGACATGGTCAACAGTGATGTTGCAACTGCATGAATTTGTCTTTAAAATTCATGCTTTGGAACATCTTCTATAGTCTGGTCTGTGAGCACGTAGAATTTTGTCCAATGACCCCAAGCAACCCATCCTTATCGCTCACGCGTAATTATGTTGCTGTTGCGCTCTCACACTCACTGCGGGCGCCCGTCGCACAGTCGCGACAGCAATATAATCACGCGCGAGCGATAATGATGGGTAGCTTGGGGTCTTGGACAAAATTCTACTTGCTCACAGACCGGGCTTTACATTCACAGAGAGTGAAGATACCAGTCACTAAATTACTTTCTAAGGCAGAGTCCGCACTACGGCTAAACCGCCGCGGTTTTTAACTGCGCGACTTTATAATCAGGTAAAACTAATGCAAGCGTCTGCAATGCGGCTTTTTCCCGCGTATACGTTTCGCGGTTTGGCGGTTTACCGCTTGCGGGAAAAAACCGTAGTGCGGACTCTAGGTGAATTGACTGCAGCAACTGGTGACCAAATTAAGTTGATAAGGAACCGAAATATCATTACAGTTGGTGTAAATATGAAATATATCAGATAAGACTCTCACCCTTGGAAATCTTGGTGGGGATGGACAGAGCCTGGAAGAAGGAGGTCTTCTCGGGACCAAGACCGGTGTTGTGTGCCGGGATGACGACGGCAAGCGGCGCGATGGCTCCAGGACGGGCCGGCGCGCGCACCTTGTTCTCCAGAAGCTTGTCACGGACCTGATACAGAAGAGTATTGTTATAAATGGAGAAAAGTATGAGTTAAGTAAGCTAGCTGTTGAAATTAATTTATAATGGTGGATCTACACAGCCTGGCAGCACCGCTGGTGGCTAGATCCAAAGATAAGCCACCGATAAGGATGTTTCTTCAAACTTTCTCCCTGTTACCACTTGCCAGGGGCCTAGCTGTGTGAATCCACCATAATGTGCAGTTTTTAGAGAACTTTATAACTGATTGTATCCTTGAAATGCCAGTGCAATGTCCATAACTAAGACAATCACACTAGGATAAATTCAAAGAGTTACTTTAGTCTGAAAGCGTAGCCTGTGAGTTGACATCAACACCCAGGTATTAGAACAGACTAGGATTTACCTGCTTTTTAGGTATTAGAATTAGCTGCATAGTTTTGATACATATGTATTTATGAAATTGGTGCATAAGTTTGTGCTTACCTCGACAAGGTCTCCACGGGTGAAGACGAAGCCGACATTGCCCTTGATGTGGGGCAGCAGCTTCTCAAGAGCCGGGTTGGTCTCCAGATGGTCCTTGATGGCCTTGCGCATCATGGTGTTCTTTCCCATCAACACAATGCTGTGCCCACGCAGAGAAATACGGATCTGCTGCATCTGCGTTGAGCCTACGTTGTCTGCACCCACAAGGAAACATTTTGGGTACTCGTCTAGAAGTTGCTGAAATAGAACAATCACTGTAAACAACATGCCAACAGCATTTTGAGGTTATGTCCAGAAAATCAGTGATAGGAACTTACGATGATCCTGGTGAAGTAGTTGGACTTCCAGGTTGCCTTGTCCTCCCTACCCATCTTGAAGTGTGTAGGGACTTCGTTGAAATTTAAGGACTGAAAGTAGAAAGTTTGGTTGTGATCGACGTCGGCATTTACCAAGTATTTTTTGGGAAAACCCTTTAAATAGACACATAATCTTTTGAATATATCTAATTTATATGCACAACGCTAATATTTGATTTGATTTCAAGCAAGATTGTATAAATAATTCACGATTTTTCACTCACCAAGACAAAACGCACAAACTCAGTGCGGGACAAAAATGGTGAAGAATTTAACCTAGTGTTGCTAATCTGTCAAAAGTTATCGAGTTCTATATCGATTAATTTCTATTCACTTACGAAAATTAATATCAAAGTTATTCAGAATTTATTCAGCTGCTATATTTCTATATTAGAATAGTTCTCTAACAACCTATGAATAAATCGGAATAAATAAACTAACTATAACGAATGACAAACATGATGTTCGAGCCTCGAGGAATTAGTAAGACAACAAGTTAAGTCCTGCCGTGACCCGTGATTATAACGACTTATAAAAGTTTGTTTACTATTATAGACGTTGAGCGAGGACCTCGATTTAGATTCTGTCTACTATTTATGGGTGATTTAATTTGAAAATTCAATTTAATCTTCCACGAAATACAAACAACACTATGGTAAAAAAAATAAAAAAATGGCTATTGCTCTATAATCTGTGCTATATATTGCTGATTTTGACCACAGATTAGAGAGTATGTGATTTTGACAAGCGGGTTACTTTTTTGTCAAACTGTCATTTTCTGTGAAATTGTGGGAAAGCTTTAGTTTTTTTAGCAATTTACACACTAAATTCTAGAGGAATGACTAGTTCCTTTTCAGTGGATATTGTATTTCTTGGGTTACAATAGGAAAATTGTTTTTTTCTGGTTCTAAGATTGTTGACCTTTACGAAAATGTCGTTGTTTCGTAAGCCAAAAAAGATTCAACGGCGCATGTTTTGCGCTGACGACGACGAGGATGGTGAACCGGAGCCGCCTCCGCCGCCGGTCATCAGCCGCGAGAGAGAGAGGAAGGAAAACAAACCGGTTAAAACCAAGTCCCTTTTGAGTTTTGCTGATGAAGGTAACCTCTCCGAGAAGCTTGGCTAGCTTTGGCATCATATTCCTACTGTACTAATATAATTTATACCTTTCTCGTTTCTGTTTAATTAAATACAATGAAGGGAAATTAGATACAGCTGAAAAGAACTGCTACTTCTGCCTGATTTGATACTTGGAAATTGATAAAATACATCAGCACCATTGAAGTTAATATTATGCATATACTGGGATAGAGTGGAAATGGCACAGTTAACGAAGCCATTACAGCATACAACCTGTTTGCTTCCTTTCTTGTATACCATCCATGATCTATAGTAATTTCCATTTATCTACACAATAGTCACGTTACACTTAAAATTATGACCAAGACCCTGGTGTATCTGCTGAGAAGAAAAAAGATTAAAGTTAATTCTCTCAAATTCTTGGTCTTGCCATTATTTCTTGATACATTTACAATGTTAGTCTGTTAGGTTTTACAATATTGCTTAGATTTGTTAAGGGACCCGATATATGCTGTGGTGTGTTGACTACTTACAGAGGAAGAAGATGCGGAAGTATTCAAAGTGAAAAAGTCGTCTCAGAGCAAGCGTCTCGCTAAACGCAGGGAAAAGGAGAGACGCAAGCCTCCCGATGGTGATAATAATAAATATGACAATAATGTTAATGAGGTAATATGCTTCTTAAGCACCTGATGTAGTTACTTTTTATAATCATATCAATAAAACTTGTTTATTATTATATTTGAGTGTGAAACATTCATGCTGCAAATTATGATATTTTATGTGTAAAAATTGGACTTACTAAAGGTAAATTATTACTAAAAATTTGTGGAAGTTTAATACTAATTAAACTAACTAACAGTTGTAACACGGTTGTAATTTTATACAATTTATCACATTTGAAATTGTAAAATTTGTTTTGGTATTCTATTAGTGTAAATTGGAATGCCTTTGTAATAGGGTACCTTCCCTACAAAATCCTACAATTTATGCAAAATTATCTGATTGGGATGCTAAAAGCTTTACTAAGTATGAATGAAAAGACAAGATGGGACAAAATACATGACTGTGTCCTAAGGTAGATCCTATTAGCCTTTATTGAAAACTAAATTAAAATTGTCCTAAATGTTAAAAATTTTAGTTTTAATCTTATGCCATATTATTGACATTATGAACGTATCTTCAATTGTGAACACCAATAAACTTCTACAATAAACCTTTCAACATCCAGGACGAAGCGGCGAACAACTCAAACAGCCAGCCGCAGCCGAAATCGAAAAAGAAAGTTACGTTAGAAGGTCTGATTCTGTCCGGACGGGAGGCGTTAGCGGCGGACGGCGCCGGCGACGTGTCGGACAGCCCGGACGAAGAGGAGGAGGACTCGCGGGGCTTCCACAAGTACCGCGCGGAAACCGTCCGGGCGGCGCTGGCGGTCGCGCCCGGACACATTCCGGACGCCGCGCTCATCCACGCGGCGCGGAAGACCCGACAGCAGGTATGAGAGGTGAGGGACTAAGCGAGCCGTCACCGATGCTGGGATGTCCTTCTTTTGAGTTCGAAGATAAGTTTTAGGTTGCCAGTGTGGAGAGTTTCCTTTTAGCCTTCAAGTCACGTGCGCGCTGCAGTCGAGTATTGCGTTTTTGGTGCGATTTTCCTGTTATGTGGTAAGATGTCTGGTATTAAATACTAATTTAATGCTAGTAGATGGTGACTTTTATAAAATGTATAAGTACTTATGAGATCTATACTTTAGTCCGAAGCTGGGGCATTAAATAGATGAAGTAGAGTACTAAGCATATTTCAGCTAGCGCCATTAATTGTGGTTCGAGAGCCAACGTGACTTTTCTCTTCAGCAATAAATAACATAAATCCCTGTCTTACATAAGATATGCCGACACGTTTAACTAGTCGATCGCTGTCTTTTTCTGACACCCGTGCCAGAACACGACAACAATTAGAACTATTTTTGAATCAATCTGTCCCATTCACAAGTGGAACGGGTTACGTTTTGGAGAGGAATTACACAATCTAGTTCCACCAGCCTCCTTCCAACACCGGCAGGGTGGCGTAGCATCCCTACGTTTGTCGACATTCCACCAACACTCACTAAACCTTTTGCTAACTCTTTTATAATGCGAACAGTTAGAGAATTTGCTGCCTGTTACTGTCTTCAGTCTTTCCTGACACTATAATCCGGGCCTCTTCAACGCGAGAGTGAACAGGCACTTACAGGACAGTATATGTCTTGTTCTACTTAACTCGTGGAACCCTAAGCGGTCGAAGTAGACCGAGGTACTATTCGCTGGGATAAAAAAAACAGACAGACAAACAAAAACCATAATATCTCAGAGAAAGCTCGCTGCTCTCGCCACAATAGTCCCTGTCTACACTACAGCCCGCCTTCCGTTTCCAGGCGCGGGAACTTGGTGACTTCGTGCCGATTCCGTCGGAGGCGCCGCCCGGATCGCGGCTCGTGCGCGACGACGGCTCGGGAGACGACGACGAAGATGGACGCATTCAAGTCCGGGGGCTGGACTTGCCTAGTGACAAGCCTAAACGTGAGTGGTGTTGTAGAACTACAGCTCTTGACGCTAGAAAAGGCGCTCGATATCGATCTATCAATAATTCGATACAGACATCGATATATCGATAATTCAATGTTTGTGACCCAATCGGAGACCTGCGAAACAAGTGGATATGAGATTTTTTTACCTTGTTAATCAAACTCAATTCTCCTCGTGGGACTTCACCTCTGTTGGGATGGAAATGAACATTTAAGCATTACTTCAAAAAACATTATTTACATTTACTGAGAAGAGTAATTGAAGAGTATTGTAAGTTCTGCTTACTTTGAGGCAGGTGATTGCTGTAATATTTAATACTCAGTGCTTTGGACTTTCTTGAACAGTCTAATACACCTCTATCTGAGGATTTATAAGTGTTTCTTGCAATTGATTTTACAATATCAGAATGAAATTGTGGATACCCTGGTGTTCCAAATAAATTAAATTAATACTGATAGTTATCACTAAAGCCCGGTCTGTGAGCAAGTAGAATTTTGTCCAATGACCCTAAGCTACCCATCCTTATCGCTCGCGCGGAATATATTGCTGTCGCGACTGTGCGACGGGCGCCCGCAGTGAGTGTGCGAACGCGACAGCAACATAATTACGCGCGAGCGATAAGGATAGGTAGCTTGGGGTCATTGGACAAAATTTTACGTGCTCGCGGACCAGACTATAGTAAGTTACAAATATACAAAATACTATTTTAGGTGGTACAGCGGCCGCTCCAACCAACGAGGAGCTGGACAGCGAGGGCGAGGAGTGGGAGGAGCAGCAGATGCAGAAGGCCATGCCGGCTATCTCGGATATCGCAGGTTCGATGCTCCACCATGGCCATTTCAGTTGGTGTTATAATTCAACTTTTGATGTTTGTCAAGTACACAAGCTACACAAAATCTTTTTGAAATTAATTTTGAAAATTATAACTTGAAAAAATCAAACTGCCTAAGGCGGGAAATTGAAAAGTAATTGGGCTAGAATTGCAAGAAAAGATTTTTTTTCCTGGCGGCTTGGTGACTGGAATTGAACCGCCACCGGTGCAGACGGAGAAGATGGTGAATTGTCTGCACGTGAAAAAGAGGTTGTCCGGCTTGCAGAAATTTATATAAGTTACCGTTCCTTGTGTGAAATTAAAAAATGTAAATAAAACAGCTCCCTCTCAATTGACACAATTTATTTTTATCTCGTTAGCTCATGTACAGGTAACAATTACGATATTATAACTACTGTAATAGATAGTGCCAATCTCAAGGGATTCAGGGTCGTTAATTAGGTTCGGTTTGGTGAATATTATTGCCACTACAAATTTCTTAAAACTCAGCCTAAATATTAAAAGACTCTACTAGTTAAGATAACTGCGCGATGTCAGGTCGGAAAGACTCCTACTTGAAGGATGGAAAAGTGGGTACCTTGGAAGCCATGCGGTTATAAGCCGTTACCCTGAACGTTCCTCTCTTCTTCCGGGGTCCAACGGGTCTCGCACACTTTTAGGTTACAAGCAGCGTCCTCCACGGCCTCAAGCGCACAGTGCCAGATGAA